TCATTTATAATGTGATAGAATTACGTTGTTTAAGTTCTGCTTAGCGACTGTTTTTTTAAAAGCTTGAATAAAATAAGTCGAGGCGTTGAAAAGGAGAAACAGAGAAGCAACATAAATAAGTTATATTTAGGGTACGGGTACATAAAAGTTTAATAGCTTACTTGTGCACCTCAAACCCACCCTGTGGAGGGTAGTCAAAAGACCACAGAGGCAGATGAAGGATCCAGTGACTGACCACCGAGGTAAAAGGTATGTGAAAACGTCAGTTACTGTGGTAACTAACTGCTCCCAGTTAGTTATACAGATCGTGATACAGTGATATAGTCATATAGTTGATAAATTAGACACTTTTGCAACATTTAGGAATCTTTAGTATGGAAATGTTACGCCAACAAGTGGTTTCCTTAGTCCCGTACAGAGATAAATGGTGGAAGATGAGAAGGCTCCTGAGGTAATCAGTCCCTCAGCCTGGAGTCGATGTGTTCAGTCCATCTATCCAGACCATTTACATCATAACATAGTTGGTAATTGAGTCAGAAAACATTACAATATAGTCTACATGCTGTCTTTGTTTTATCATTTTTATTGTTTCGTGAGGCTACATCATGCAGTAATATTAACAATGGTTTTGAGGGCAGAAATATTATGGACGCATTAAAGGTACTTTCTTTATGTTGATTAAGGACTAATCAATGAGTTCCAAGAAAGGTGAAGGTTGGGTGTAACCACCTTGAGTCACTTCCAACCCAACGACCTTGTTAAGTTCCGCACGAGCAATTATTTGTGAAAATATGGCCCCCTCCCTCCTCAATATCATGACCTGAAATTAGTAGTAAGATGATGATTACTCAAGAGGGAAACACACTGCTGAAGTACACGATAATGAGCTTTAATGTAGCTTCTTATCTGCTCACATTATTAATTATGTTGCCTGATTTTTTTTTCTTTTTTTTCTTCCTCTAGCTTTTCTTTCCTATTTTGCACATAACACGAGAAGTGCTTATCCGATCGGCTGCGAAAATTCAACGCTAGTGTACGGTAACTAGGATGAGATTCTTGTAACAATTGGCATGTGCTGGTGTCCTGTGGTCAAAGTTGTTGAACCCATTCCCTGCATTCTGGTATGACTCCGATAACTCCCATAATCCCCTGCGGTATAGCTTAAAATCTTCAGAAAAGATGCCTCTTAAATCAACGACGGAGAAGAATGAAACTTAAGATGTAGGTCCATATCTGCCAAGTTTATGTGTAAAATAGTGTGAAATTTGTATTCCTTATACATCACGTTAAATATATTTTCGTCTATGTCTTGTGATGCATCTTACGACCAGGAGACTGCCCATTAACTTTAATTTGCATGACAGCAAAATTGTAAATACATCTTTTTTTTTTTTAATATATAAAAAATTTAGAATCTGGACGATAACTGGAAAAAATACCTCTTCTGTTCTGCTTCCAATATATAACAGTGACGTGGTGTCCAGAGAGTCAAGTTTGTGTCGTTGATCTGCTGCCTTGATCCCACTTTCTTATTTATAATAAATAAATCACGATGGTGATTACCATTCACCAAATAAAAATGTTGAAGATTGAGACACTTATGCAGCATATGGGAATCTTTATTCAGGAAACGTTTCGCCACACAGTGGCTTCATCAGTCCATTACAAAGAGGAAGGCGTAAGGAGAGGAGGAGTATGAGGTAATCAGTCCCTCAGCCTGGAGTCGATGTGTTCAGTCCATCAATCTTGTAGAGTGTACAGCATAGGGCCGTAGACGTGGCTTATATACTGTAGTGAGGTGACTTGAAGCAGGTGGAGGCGGGATCATAGTGGTATCATCCACTAGTCGAAGTAGGTCTTTGTCCAAAGGTTGAACAAGCGTTGAAGAATTCTTTGTAAGAAGATCCCATGATGCTGCAGTGTCTGACAGTTGTGATGAATGGTTTGAAAAACCGACAAGTTGAAGATTGAGACACTTATGCAGCATATGGGAATCTTTATTCAGGAAACGTTTCGCCACACAGTGGCTTCATCAGTCCATGATGAAGCCACTGTGTGGCGAAACGTTTCCTGAATAAAGATTCCCATATGCTGCATAAGTGTCTCAATCTTCAACTTGTCGGTTTTTCAAACCATTCATCACACAAATAAAAATGTCTCGTGTTATGAACATCAAAATATTAACGTTGATGTTTTCTATCAGAAGGAGACAATGTTTAATAAAATAAATTTTAATGAATTTTTAATGAAATTGTTAAAAAAAACTTGGAATCATTGAATTCGGAATAATTGTTGAAGAATAGCCACAGAACGGATGGGGTTTGAACCTACGGTGAGTCATGCTGGAGAATGTCTCTTCTAACAGGCTTCAAACTTTTATTGTTGATGGACTTTATTAAATGATAAGTTGGTTTTTACTTTGATTTACGTGAATTTTAAATTGTCATTTATATTAAATAGCTGGTTTCCATGTAATAACTAGAGAATGACTCTTCTGGTAGGTTTCAAACCTCTTAAACAGTTAGTATATCTTAATTAAAAGTAATTTTCTATTGAATTTAAATTAAGTATATACCATTTTTCCAATTTTATAGATTTTTTAATCAATTTGACTTTCTTTAAAAAAACACAAAATCAAACATTTTTTCTTAGAGGAAATGTAAAGAATTATAAACAGAGCTGCAGAGATAACACTGTTACATAATGAATAATAATGACTTTGTCATGAGTTTAACAAACCCTTAAATAATGTACGACTTTATCCCTGAGTCGGTCCTATTTTAACAACAGTGTTCATGTTTTTAGTTGTTATGAGTTTAGTGAACCCTTAACGCCACTATTTTAGCTACTGTTCATGTTTTGCACTATTGTAACTTCCTTTAGGGATTTCATTTACAACTTCAGAATGCCTAACATGACTGGTTTCAGATTTTCAGCCCTGGCAATTTAGTGAAGGTTAGTGGAACAACTTACTGGTGGAGGCGGCCTCTGCTCAATTTTTTTATAGACCATTCCCGAGTTGGTGTCCACCAGATAATGCTAGAAAGCCTCTTCTGATCGGCTTCAGAATTTCAGCACTGATATGTCCTACTTAGAAGAAGGTTGTTGTTGTTGTTGTTGTTGTTGTTGTTGTTGTTGTTGTTGATGCAGTGTTTACCTGACAGTTTTAAACTTAATCTAGAAATTGTGGAGTAATATTTTATATAATTGCTTCGTCTGCCTTGATGTCAGTGAGTGGCATCTGATCCAAGGAACTGGACTTATCCTCCCCTTCCTTGGATCGAATCTGAACGCATCATATTCCACATTCACTACATGACCCTTACTGGTTTAAAGCTTTCCCCCTGATTAAAATAAAACGATTCTAAACCTCACTGGTGTTAGCGACCGGTTTATTTAATAAAATGGACGTTTTAAGCTGTGTAGAAGCACACATTGTAGGTTCCAGTGAGGTAACTGGAGAATGCTTCACTGGACAAGCTTCAAACTTTTAGTGCTGATGTGCTTCAAGAGAAGCTTCACCTTCATTATAGGTTGTGTAAGTTTTAATATGCCAGTTTTATTAAGTAAACTGATGTTCGTGAACCTGGAGACTGTCACTGCTGATCACAGATGAATCACTGTATCTCACTTTATTAAGTTATCCTAGAATAAAGTTAAATAAGTGCACATAACATCCGTGTTCTCTCAAAATATTGTAAAAATAAGTACATTATACATTATATATTATTCATTAAATCACTTGCATCACATAAATACTTAATTACCTATTTAAACCTTAAACGCCAGTCAGTCTTACATAGAGAACATTTTGGAGTGATATCGGCCTGTCTGCTTCCCAGTTTCCTTTTTTCTCATAGAAAAAAAAAAGACTGAAATTTGAAATAATTATTTTTTCATCCCATTGGTTTCATCCTTCAACGCTGATAACTTCATAATGAACATCCTAAGCGACTTCAAACTTAACATGCTGGCGTATCTTAGTATACAAGTCTCTGAGACAGCAGAAGAATGTCTCTTCGGCCTTCCTTCAGAGGTGATCCTTCTTAGAGGATAATTTGAAATAGTTTTGGATTATGTATGTCCTAATTTGCCATTTTTATTGAAGAAATTTAGTACTAGTGTCCATGTGATAGCTTGCGTGCTGCACTCTGCACTTTTCCTTTCGCGTACATTGAAGTATAGGGAGCTGGGGTTATGCAATACGAGGATATATCTTTCTCGAGTAAGGCAGTGGCCTAAATTTATCTAGTTTACTTTAAATATGACATTTTATATATATATATATATATATATATATATATATATATAATATATATATATATATATATATATATATATATATATATATATATATATATATATATATATATATATATATATATGGGCAGTACAGTGCCTGCACTCTGAAGGAGGGGTGTTAATGTTGCAGTTTAAACTGTAGTGTAAAGCACCCTTCTGGCAAGACAGTGATGGAGTAAATGATGGTGAAAGTTTTTCTTTTTCGGGCCACCCTGCCTTGGTGGGAATCGGCCAGTGTGATAATAATAATAATAATATATATATATATATATATATATATATATATATATATATATATATATATATATATATATATATATATATATATATATATATATATATATATATATATATATATATATATATGTATATATAATAGTAGTAGTAGCAGTAATAATAATAATAATAATAATTTTATAATAATAAGACTGAGGGCCACTTGTAGCTATCGTAGTGTCTGCTGCATACTTTCATCGCGGCAAGTTGATATAAATCAATGGTTAGAATGTTAGGTGAAGGCAGAGTTGACGTCTAAGATCACAGTAACTCCGGTGACCAAGGAGGTCCGGGAAGAAGAGTACACTGCAGCATGTATCAGCCAATGATTTTCACCCGGGTGGTTACGCATCAACGTAACGCAACAACTATACGTATTTCATCACCTGCAAGTTAATTCACACTTCTTTTCCCTTCCCCAGGTGTGTGGAGTAACAGACAGAGAGGGATGCTGAAGCCTATCAACAGTAGGACCTCACCGCAGACGCCTGCCCCCATTGGTAGCGTCACACGACCCTCCGGTCTTAGTGCCTCCCTCCTCAGGCCTTTCACTGGTAATGTTTACAATTCGCACACCGACTCCGCCTTTCCCGACTCAGGGATAGGAGGCTCTCCAGGCCACAGCGTCGAACCCCAAAGCAACAGCTCCGACAACGCCGGCAGCGGGGGTAGTATCAATGACAGTAGCTTCAGCAACAGCGGCAGTAGCTTCGCCAACAGCGGTAGTAGCTTTGCCAACAGCGGCAGTAGCTTTGCCAACAGTGGCAGTAGCTTCGCCAACAGTGGAAGTAGCTTCCCTAACAGTGGGGGTAGTTCTAGCAATAGTGGAAGCAGTTTTGGTCATGGTGGAAGTAGTTCCATCAACGGTGGTAGTGGAAACAACTTCGGCAATGGTGGAAGTGGAACCAGTTTCACCAGTGGTGGAAGTAGCTCAAGTAAAGGTGGCAGCAACTTTGGCAACAGTGGAAGCAGTTCTGGCAACAGTGGAAGTAGTTTCAGTAACAGCGGTAGTATCCTCAACAACAGTGGAAGTAGCGTCAGCGGCACCGGCGGTGGAGGTAGTTCCAACAGTGGAAGTAGTTTCAACAGTGAAGGTAGTTCCATCAGCGGAAGTAGTTTCAACAGTGGAAGCGGTTTTAACAGTGGAAGTGGTTCTAACAGTGGAAGTGGCTTCAATACCGGCAGCGGGTTCAACAGTGGAAGTGATTTTGTCAGCAACACTGGTTTCAACAGCGGAAGTACTTCCAACAGTGGAAGCAGTTCCAGCAGTGGAAGTAGTTTCATCAGTAGCGGTAGTAGTTCCAACAGCGGAAGTAGTTTTAACGGCGGTAATGGTTTCAACACTGGCAGTGGCTTCAGCAGTAATAGTGGTTCCAATAGCGGCAGCAATGTAAACAGTGGAAGCAGCTTCAACAGTGGGAGTAATTTCAACAGCGGTGGTAGTAGTAGTAGTAGTAGTGCCAACAGTGACAGCAGCCTGAAAGGCAGCGGGAGCAGTTTCAGTAGCGGGAGCAGTTTCAGTAGCGGGAGCAGTTTCAACAGCGGAAGCAGTCTGAAAGGCAGCACATCATTCCAGGCCACAAAGAGCCCCGCAGGAGCCATAACAAACCCGTCCTCAGGAACAGGCAACCTGCCTCCAGGCAAGACCAATCCAGCGCCTGCACTTGCATCTCTACCGCAGCGTCCGTCGCAGACGTCGCCCAAGACTTCAGCGGCAGGACCCTCCTCAGCCTCCAGTCAGAAAGAAGCTAACCTCAACCTGGGAGGGTTTGGGAGTTTGATCGGTGGTTCCAAAGACAAGAGTAAAGCATCGTCATCATCGCTGGGTAAACCCAACTCACAGAATGTACAGCATCCCACCCCCCGGCCATCACCATTTGGTGGCAACCACGCTCGTGAGTATCCAAACTTTTTATCGATTATTTGTCCTCTATCGTGTTTACCTGGCCCTCAGATTCTCTAGAAGTGAACTTGCCTTTTCTGTACAGCTGCCGTAATATATAACATTGACGGATTAAAGTTCAATAATAAGCTCAAGAAATATTTCCCAGTATCTCTGTGAATTATCTGTTCTTTAAACTTCCAGTTGTGACCTTGTGTACCTGAGACTCACTTCTCAAACACACTCGAACTGTGTACCCTGTCTATTCCTCTGAGAATTTTTTTGCATCATAATCATGTCACCTCTGGTCCTTTGTTCTCTGCTATCCTCAGATTTAGCTCCTCAGCTCTGGACTTAAGTCTCGTTACACACCTTTGCACTTCTTTTCGAGTTTCTTTAAATGCTTTATCAGTTGCGGGTTCCATACTGGCGCTGCATACTCCAAGATGGGCATGATATATGCATCGTGATAGGGATAAATTCTAATAGCCACTTGTCAGACCAATCCTACAGCTTCTCCAGATCCATTTGTAGTCTTTCCTTGGCTACTCCTGTTTGTATTCTCTTCACTTGTTTTACATCTGTGAACAGGGACACATCTAACTCGATTTCTTCTGCCATGTCGGTGGCATACACAAGAAATGAAACTGGTCCAAGTAATGACCCTCGTTGAACCTCAGTCATCCATTCACCTGTCGCAACACCTCCCGGATAATGGCTAGCTGATACCTTCCTGTTAAGTATTCCTTGATTCGTTGTAGCGCTTTCCCTGTCTCCTTTTCTAGTTTTTGTCTCAGTCTGTTGTGAGGTACCGTATAAAACACCTTCTTACACTTACAATCCCTCTCTCTCCTGCTTAACTTTCATTACCTTCTGGAACTCAAGCAGATTTATAAAATTGTTGTACGAGTATAAGAATCCTCTCTTTTTCCATGTGTCCCACTACTCTTCTGATAATCGCGAACGCGCTCGTGTGTGTGTGTGTGTGTGTGCGTGTGTGTGTGCGTGTGTGTGTATATATATGTGTGTGTGTGTGTGTATGTGTACTCACCTATGTATCGTATGTTTGTGAGTGTGTGTGTGTGTGTTTGCATGGGTTGAGAGAGTCTCCTGGCCCCACCTCTCGTCGTCCACAAGTTCCCTGCCTGGCAGGCGCACTCTACCAGTGTAATAGTGTATGAGTGTAGTGAAGTGTAATCAGCACACTCAGAGTGGAGTGTGTGGTGTGCGTGACATAACAATAGGACCGTGTGCGTGTCTCAACCAGTATACACGGCATTTAAACACGTACAAGTGCGTGTCTGACTGCCTACTTGTAATTACCTACGTTACTTGAGCTTGTGGGTTTTGAGCTATAGTTCTTGGGCCCACCTCTTTCAGTTACAGCTCCTGGGTCCAGGAGCTGTAGTGATGGGCAAGTATCAGGAGTGCTGATGGGCAGGTATTAGGACTGCTGATGGGCAGGTATCAGGAGTGCTGATGGGCAGGTATTAGGAGTGCTGATGGGCAGGTATTAGGACTGCTGATGGGCAGGTATAAGGAGTGCTGATGGGCAGGTATTAGGAGTGCTGATGGGCAGGTATTAGGAGTGCTGATGGGCAGGTATCAGAAGTGCTGATGGGCAGGTATTAAGAATGCTGAGGGGCAGGTATCGGGAGTATTGATGGGCAGGTATCAGGAGTGCTGATGGGCCAGTATCGGGAGTGCTGATAGGCAGGTATCAGGGGGAGTTTTCTGAGATGGGCCAGTATCGGGAGTGCTGATAGGCAGGTATCAGGAGTGTTGATAGGCAGGTATCAGGAGTGCTGATGGGCCAGTATCGGGAGTGCTGATAGGCAGGTATCAGGAGTGCTGATAGGCAGGTATCAGGAGTGCTGATGGGCCAGTATCGGGAGTGCTGATAGGCAGGTATCAGGAGTGCTGATAGGCAGGTATCAGGAGTGCTGATGGGCCAGTATCGGGAGTGCTGATAGCAGGTATCAGGAGTGCTGATAGGCAGGTATCAGGAGTGCTGATGGGCCAGTATCGGGAGTGCTGATAGGCAGTATCAGGAGTGCTGATAGGCAGGTATCAGGAGTGCTGATGGGCCAGTATCGGAGTGCTGATAGGCAGGTATCAGGAGTACTGATAGGCAGGTATCAGGAGTGCTGATGGGCCAGTATCGGGAGTGCTGATAGGCAGGTATCAGGAGTGCTGATAGGCAGGTATCAGGAGTGCTGATGGGCCAGTATCGGGAGTGCTGATAGGCAGGTATCAGGAGTGCTGATAGGCAGGTATCCAGGAGTGCTGATGGGCCAGTATCGGGAGTGCTGATAGGCAGGTATCAGGAGTGCTGATAGGCAGGTATCAGGAGTGCTGATGGGCCAGTATCGGGAGTGCTGATAGGCAGGTATCAGGAGTGCTGATAGGCAGGTATCAGGAGTGCTGATGGGCCAGTATCGGGAGTGCTGATAGGCAGGTATCAGGAGTGCTGATAGGCAGGTATCAGGAGAGCTGATGGGCCAGTATCGGGAGTGCTGATAGGCAGGTATCAGGAGTGCTGATGGGCCAGTATCGGGAGTGCTGATAGGCAGGTATCAGGAGTGCTGATAGGCAGGTATCAGGAGTGCTGATAGGCAGGTATCAGGAGTGCTGATGGCCAGTATCAGGAGTGCTGATAGGCAGGTATCAGGAGTGCTGATAGGCAGGTATCAGGAGTGCTGATAGGCAGGTATCAGGAGTGCTGATGGGCCAGTATCAGGAGTGCTGATAGGCAGGTATCAGGAGTGCTGATAGGCAGGTATCAGGAGTGCTGATGGGCCAGTATCAGGAGTGCTGATAGGCAGGTATCAGGAGTGCTGATAGGCAGGTATCAGGAGTGCTGATAGGCAGGTATCAGGAGTGCTGATAGGCAGGTATCAGGAGTGCTGATAGGCAGGTATCAGGAGTGCTGATAGGCAGGTATCAGGAGTGCTGATAAAGGGAGGTATCAGGAGTGCTGATAGGCAGGTATCAGGAGTGCTGATAGGCAGGTATCAGGAGTGCTGATAGGCAGGTATCAGGAGTGCTGATAGGCAGGTATCAGGAGTGCTGATAGGCAGGTATCAGGAGTGCTGATGGGCCAGTATCGGGAGTGCTGATAGGCAGGTATCAGGAGTGCTGATAGGCAGGTATCAGGAGTGCTGATAGGCAGGTATCAGGAGAGCTGATAGGCAGGTATCAGGAGTGCTGATAGGCAGGTATCAGGAGTGCTGATAGGCAGGTATCAGGAGAGCTGATAGGCAGGTATCAGGAGTGCTGATGGGCCAGTATCGGGAGTGCTGATAGGCAGGTATCAGGAGAGCTGATAGGCAGGTATCAGGAGAGCTGATAGGCAGGTATCAGGAGAGCTGATAGGCAGGTATCAGGAGAGCTGATGGGCCAGTATCGGGAGTGCTGATAGGCAGGTATCAGGAGAGCTGATAGGCAGGTATCAGGAGAGCTGATAGGCAGGTATCAGGAGAGCTGATAGGCAGGTATCAGGAGAGCTGATAGGCAGGTATCAGTAGTGCTGATGGGCCAGTATCGGGAGTGCTGATAGGCAGGTATCAGGAGTGCTGATAGGCAGGTATCAGGAGTGCTGATAGGCAGGTATCAGGAGTGCTGATAGGCAGGTATCAGGAGTGCTGATAGACAGGTATCAGGAGAGCTGATAGGCAGGTATCAGGAGAGCTGATAGGCAGGTATCAGGAGAGCTGATAGGCAGGTATCAGGAGAGCTGATAGGCAGGTATCAGGAGTGCTGATAGGCAGGTATCAGGAGTGCTGATAGGCAGGTATCAGGAGTGCTGATAGGCAGGTATCAGGAGTGCTGATAGGCAGGTATCAGGAGTGCTGATAGGCAGGTATCAGGAGTGCTGATGGGCCAGTATCGGGAGTGCTGATAGGCAGGTATCAGGAGTGCTGATAGGCAGGTATCAGGAGAGCTGATGGGCCAGTATCGGGAGTGCTGATAGGCAGGTATCAGGAGTGCTGATAGGCAGGTATCAGGAGAGCTGATAGGCAGGTATCAGGAGTGCTGATAGGCAGGTATCAGGAGAGCTGATGGGAAGGTAACTTTCCATCTTGACAACGACACTTTTCCAAACACGACGGAGTCACCAAACACCCGGGGATCACCAAGCACCACGGGGTCGCCAAGCACCACAGGGTCACCGAGCACCTGGGGTCACCAAACACCGCGGGGTCACTAAACACATGGCTGCACCAGCCTCTGGCATACAGGTGGATTGTACTGACACCTGTGTGACGTCACAACTGTAACGCAAAGCACACACACACACACACACACACACACACACACACACACACACACACACCACACACACACCACATCACACACCCCACACACACACCACACACACACACACGGAGACAGACAGGCAGCACTAAACTACAGACTAATGTCACTGGCATGTATAGTATGCAAAGTCAGGGAGAGGAGTATCGGGAGAAGAGTGGTGGACCATCTAGAAAGGAATGAGCTTATTTACGACAACCAGCACGGTTTCAGGGAAGAGAAATCCTGTGTCACAAACCTACTGGAGTTCTGTGACAAGATAGCAGTAAGAAGAGAGAGAGAGAGAGAGAGAGAGGTGGGTAGATTGGGTTTTCTTGGACTGTAAGAAGGGTTTTGACACAGTTCCACACAAGATATTAGTGCAAAAGTTGGAGGACCAGGAAGGTATAACAGGGAAGGCACTGCAATTGATCAGAGAATATCTGACAGGGGGGCAACAGGGAGTCATGGTACACGACGAGATGTCAGACTGGGTGGCTATGACGAGCGGGGTTCCCCAGGAGTCGGTCCTAGGACCGGTGCTGTTTCTAGTGTATGTGAATGACGTGACGGAATGGATAGACTCAGAAGTGTCTCTGTTTGCAGACGATGTGAAGCTAATGAGGAGAAATCAATCGGACGAGGAAAAGGCAGGGCTACAAAGAGATCTGGACAGGCTGCAAGCCTAGTACAGCAACTGGCTTCTAGAGTTTAACC